GATGTTGCTAGTTCCCAAGGTGGAACTGCTAATTTGAAATATCCTCTAAAGCGTAGACCTAAAGGCATATCAAATGCAAGACTAAAAAGCCATTGGGAGAAAAAGAAACGGCCTAAGAGTAAGTTTTTAATAACTTGTTAATTATTTAATTCCTAATCCTAAGACTAAAACTCTAGTTTCTTACATATAAGAAACCTTTGGTGAGGGATAACCCAATGGATGAACCTTGTTCAACACAGATGAACTTTTCAAGCATGCCTGAATGTTTCAGTGAGGAATATATAACCGGCATGCCATCATGCCAACCTGGAGCTGAATACACCAAGTTGATGATGGATTTTCTTTCTTCGGAGTTGGAATTTAATGAATTTGCAATGTAATAATATTTATTTGGACTTAATGATTTCATTTATTGGTTGTAATATAATTTTTTATATGAATCATGGTTTCATTTATTGGTTGTAATAAAATTTTTCCAGGACTTAATGATTTCATTTATTGATTTCATAAAAAGTAAGTTTAGTTGCGCTGTACTTGCTCTATAGTTGCGCTATGATTGTGCTATGGTTGCGCTAAGTTTGCGCTAAGGTTGCGCTATAGTTATCCTAAGGTTACGCTATGGTTGCGCTATTGTTGCGCTATGGTTGCGCTTTACTTGCGCTTTGCTTGCGCTATTGTTGCACTATGATTGCGCTAATGTTGCGCTTTACAGAATATGCACATGTTAGAAGTTACAGAATATGGTTTCACTTTGTTAGAAGTTACAGAATATGCACATGTTATACAATAATAAAAAACTATATAATAACATAATAAAATATACATTTATAATTCATGGACAATATTTACAATAAGTTACAGATTGTTTGTTTGAAGAAAAAGAAAATATGCTGACTCTGCCCTAAATTTTGGCATATGCGTCTGCCAATCTTTAAAAGCATTCCAGTCTGTTTTCTTTCGTTGCACGGCCTTTTTCATATATTTACAAATGAACATTCCACAATCGTAGTCGTTTGATTGTGTTGGAATTCCACGAACCGCCTGTACGTTCCATTTTGTTATATCGCTTGAAAAGCATCCTATGGTGTCCTCGTGCAAATAATTTATCTGTAAAAATAAAACATTTTAAAAATTTATTATGTACATAAACATAGTTATCTGGATTTAACTTAAAATATGAATTGCACTTACAACTGTATGACAAATATTCTTGTGTTCAGGATTTGGTAATGAATCATACATTTTCCAGACCTTCTCCTTCAATTTTCCAACAAGAAGAACCCAATGCTTCTCGTAAATTATGGGTTGAACAATAAGTTTGCTTTCTTTAACTGAAACTAGATTAATGTGTTGGATAAAAATTTAATAATCCTGATTGAATGACTTGTATACCTGCAATAATTCAGTTCTATAAGGAAAAACAAAAGTGAAAAAAGGATTAAAATGCACATTTTATACTTACCCTGTACAATGGAGAAACGTACAAGTAACGTTGAAATTTGTCTACCATTATCCTACTCTGCTCTAGTAAAAAGAAAGCAAAAGCATCAATATGGTTATCTGCTAACCAATCATTTGTGAGCAGCATGTCAATATCTGATCTTTTTATTTCGATATTTCCAGATTGAAAAATTATGTGTTCCCTACAAAAACAAAGAAAAATTTAATGTTAAATCGCAACCATAGCGCAACCATAGCACAACCATAGCGCAACCATAGCACAACTATAGCGCAACCATAGCGTAACTATAGCACAACAATAGCGCAACCTTAGCGCAACCTTAGCGTAACCTTAGCGCAACAATAGCGTTGTACTTGCGTAACTAAACTTACTTTTTATTAAATTTTCTGAAACATTCATTCATAAATTGTTGTTTTTGCTCTGTTAGAAAAGGCTTCCCTAGATAATCCATAATTTCCAATGTAGGTCGTGGCTCAATTATTATATTATCAACAGAGATAACCTCTTTGTTCTTCTTTTTTACATATGGTATGATTTGTTTTGTTGAACTCGCTGCTTTTTCATCATCTTCTCTTTTTCTTTTTTAAATCATGTGCTTTGATGAACTATCTTTTGGTAGTGGCACATCTTCTTTGGCCGATGGTGGTGGTGGAGGAATATCTTGTATTGGTGGTTGTGGAAGAAATTCTTTGGCCAATGGTGGAGGTGGAGGAACATCTTGTATTGGTGGTTGTGGAAGAAGTTCTTTGGCCAATGGTGGAGCTGGAGGAACATCTTGTATTGGTGGTTGTGGAAGAAGTTCTTTGGACAATGGTGGAGGTGGAGGAACATCTTGTATTGGTGGTTGTTCTGAAGGATGAAAAGCTGTATTTTTCACTGATTGGAAGCTAGAGGAAGAACTAGATATATGCGGCTTCTCTGGATTATGATCACAATTCATTTGAAATTCAATAAATCTGTACTTCAGTGAGTCTTGATCTGCCTGAAGTTTCTCCACAATATCTTCAACACGATCCAATCTAGCTCCTAGATTTTCTTGAATTTTATTCAACATCTTCTCAAATATTTCAAAATATTTATTCTGAACAGCCTCTAAATCTGCCCTTCCAATGGGTGGCTGTTCAGCAGAAGGTTGAGTGGTGTAAATTCTTTCAGTAGGTGGACGAGTAGAAGGTTGAGTTGGCGGGAGAGGTTGAGTTTCTAGTGGTTCATTATGAGGAGAATCAGAGGGGGAGAGAGGGGGAGAGGGAGGTGGGGAGGGAGGTGGGGTGGTGTCAAGTTTTTTTCTTACGGATGACTTAATTTTCTGGGGTGACTGCAATTTCTGTGGTTCATGCCTTGCCCGGGTTTCCAAGTTTTGTATGGCAATAATGTCAGCCCCGTATTTTTCGGCCTCCTCATTGCTAACATTCTCAAGACAAACATAAATCTACAAAAAACAGTAAACATATTAATTTATTAAAGCACAACCTTAGCGCTAAGGTTGGCGCAACCTTAGCATAATTTGCATGAGTACACGAAAAAATTACCTCACTTTTCTTTAAAAATTTAAATAATTTTGCTGCATTCTCTTGCATAAAGTATAATTCTGTATACCCCTCCCATCTCAGAAAATGCGATCTTATTTCTGAATCGGATGGTTTATTCAAAGAAAAATGTTCCAAAAATCAAATCTGTATAATGCCAAACATAAAAATTTATAAGTTAACATTAAAAAGCATTATACATGTAGAATAACCAGTAGGAGTGGAAATTTATCAGTAGAAGAGGAAAAAATCATTGATGTAACTCAATGGTCTTTGCAGTTGAAACTTCTCAAAAATTGTGTTGAACTCCCCGACCATGAAGTTCCTTAAGCATGAAGCCCAATTAATGGAAGTGAGCTCACTTAAATTATTTGAAACAGATGTGAGCCTTCTAGGGGTTTTATGGTTGTTCAGTGGAAAGAAAAGGTTAGATAACAAAAACATAATAAAGATCTTTATTTTTGTAGCATCATCAGATAATCTGTCTAATTTTGACATTTCTACTTTAATTTCATTTGATAGAGGTCCATTTAGAGGATAAATCTTCCATTTGATATCAATGCCTCTATTTGGCAAATCTGCCAGAAAATTTCAGTTGTTAAAGTTAAAAAAACATATCGCTATAAAAAATTCCATATTCAAAATATTACCTATCAACAAGGCAACCTCGTTAGAAGTGAATTTCAGCACATGACCAAGGACGATGAAGCCTTCATCAGTAGGACTCCAAAATTTGAGAACCTCAAAAAGAAGTGGTATACACTGCTGGAATGCGGGGAACTTCAAAAATTGATGAATGTTCGAATTCTTTAATGTTTGCTCTACTTCATCATCAATAATCTCGACAAAAGCATCACAATGTTTCCGAAAAGAAATAACATAGCATCTAGATGTTACTGGCCTTTGATATGGCGTCCTCATCTATAACAAAAAAAAAATCAGAACTATATCGCAAACATAACTAAAGCGCAACCATAGCGCAACATTAGCGCAACCATAGCGCAACCTTAGCGCAACCTTAGTGCATCATTAGCGCAACCAAAGCGCATTTTTAGCGCAACCTTAGCTCAACCTTAGCGCAACCTTAGCACAACAATACATTTCATAATTATTTAGCTTAAAAGAAGGTTTAAATTCAGAAAAAAAAAATTGGACACCACATTGAACATATATGCTAGTTATACAATTATTACTAAACCCTAAAATTTAGCAGAAAGCGTAAACATTTCTTATCATTTGTTTCATTTGCCCCATTTACGAAGAGAAGAAGCGTGAAAAATCAGAAAATAAACATTTGAACAGTGCATTACATTAAACAAACAATGTTAAAATTATAACTAAATCAAACCCTAAAATTTAACACATATCTTAAACGCAACCAAAGCGCAAGTGAAGCGCAAGTTAGGCGCAACCATACCTCTTCCTGATTGATGATCTACTACAATCTCGTCGTCTACCTCCGGCGGGAATAAGCTATTGCAGAACCGAAGGTATTGGAGGAATCCGAGAGCGCTTACCAGAGCTGGAGTAACAGTGAAAATGTCACTTGAAAATAAAATACGCGGCGTTTCCATTCTTTATTTTCCTGAATTCAAATTTAATGCGTTATCGGGTCGGGTCGCTAACTCTGACAAGACATAAAGCAAACATATTAAATTAGAAAAACGCCTAACATATGTCACATTTCTATTGGCGACCGAACGCAGAGATGGCTTCGGTCACCTGACCCAATAATTTGCCCCGACAAATTATTGGGTCAGGTGATCGGAGGCGGACAATAAGTTCGGACATCCAATAAAAATTTGCCGCGTCACCTTGTGCTTTAGTTGTGCTTTTTGACTTGCGCTTTAGTTGCGCTTTGGTTGCGCTTTAGTTGTGCTTTAGTTGCACTTTAATTGCGTTTTACCTACGCTTTAGTTACGTTTTAGTTGTGCTTTACTTACGCAAATTTTAAAATAATATTTTATTAATATGCAGACCTATCTCTGTATTCCATCACCTGACCCAATAATTTGCCCTCCGAAGCAGCCGCTACTACATCCTCTGCAGCTCGTCGTATCCTCGTATCCTCGTATATCTCTCCACCCTGACCTCCTCTCCCTCCCTCCCTTCTCTCCTTTTTGATATCCTCCGCGATGGCCTCCACTTCAACTCCGTCGTCTCCGCCGCCTTTATCTCCTGCTCGCTCTCCCTTCTCTCACCCCGCCCCGCCCCGCCATTCTCCTTTTCTCCGTGCTCCGCCGCCCACCTCCTTTTGTCTGCAACACTATGATGCGCTCCCTCCTCGCTTTCCGCTCATCCGCCTCACTCTTCAGCTTCCACCAGATGCACCTCTCCTCTCTCCCTTCCAATCACCATACCTTCCCTCTCATCCTGAAATCCCTCTCCATCCTCCGTTTCCTCCATTCTGGCTTCTCTCTCTACTCCCACGTCCTCAAGCTCGGCCACCTCTCAGACTCCTACATCTCTTCCTCCCTTCTCCATTTTTATGCTGTATGCTCTGACTCCAATTTTGCCGTCCACCTGTTCGACGATTTTCCTTTGAAAGGGGTAGTTGCTTGGTTCACCCTCATCGCCGGCCTTGCCAAGGAGGACCGCCCGGAAGATGCTCTGCTCGTTTTCGAGTGAATGCACTTCGTTGGAGTCACGCCCAACCGCGTCACCATGGTGAGTACACTCGCTGCTTGTGCTGCCCATGGCGCCTCCCTTGATTTCGGTCAGTGGATTCACCGCCAAGCGACCCATGCAGGTTGGGATCTTGACGTCGTTCTCATTACGGCTCTCGTCGACATGTATTGCAAATACGGCTGCATCAATGCCGGTTTCGATGTGTTCTTGAGAATGCCTCAGCGGAGTTTGTCCACTTGGAATTCATTGATTCAAGGCTTTTCCTTTTCAAAAGGAGGGGCAATGGCGCTAAAATGGTTCTTAAGGATGGAGGAGGAAGGTGTGAGATCTGATGCTGTTACCCTTGTTGGAGTCCTCACAGCTTGTAGCCATTCGGGGTTTTTTTTTTTTTTTTCCATTCGGGGTTGGTAGAGCCTGGGCGGAGGATATTTGGCATGGTTGTTTGAGGTAAGTTTGGGTTTAAAACAGGGATCAAACATTATGGGTGTATGGTGGATCTTTATGGAAAGGCAGGGTTACTTGATGCGGCTGTAGAATGCATTCAAATGATGTCGTTTGAGCCTAATGTTGTCATCTATGGATCCTTGTTGTCTGGTTCGCGAGCAAGAAAGGAGATGCATTTGAGCGAATTTGCTGTAAGGAGATTAGTAGAGATACAGCCTAAAAATGCTGCACATTATGTGCTGTTATCAAATCTCTATGTGGAGATGGGGATGTGGAAGGAGGCTGAGGAGGTGAGGAGGTCCATGAGGGAGTTGGATTTGAGGAAAGAGTCTGGTTGGTCTTTGACAGAGTGGGATGATATGGAAGTATTTTGAAGAGGTTGTTTAGTATTTTTGTTACCATACGAGGAATGGAAATTGCTGGTTTCCAGAAGCTGAGGACTGCATTGTATTTACGTAAGGTAAAATGTTACCTTTGATTATCATTTTTATATGTAATGTTTTGATGTTATTATACCAAATATTATTATTATTATCATTATTATGCCTTACCACTTAAAATTTAGAAATAGCATAGGAAAGGGATCAGCTTATTTACTTTCAGGGAAGCATTCGTTTTGTAAGGCATCTCTTAACCTCTTGGATCTAAAATTTCTAGTTTCTGAATGAAAGATTAGAAAGAAAGAGAAAGAAAAGTATAAATTTTATGTCTCTCTTTAGCGAATCGCAATAAATTTTAAAAACCTTTTTCAATTTTGTTAAAGCCTACAACATTCTCGATAACATTATTGATTAAGTGGGATAGCATTTTGATCATCATCATTGTGATCACTAATCTCAACATACTTGAAATCACGATCTCGGACCTATTTGATGCAAAATTGATGATGTTGAACCTATTCAACCAAATTGATGTAAGAAGATTAAGCACATGCATGAGGTATAAGGTGGAGAGAAAAGAGAAGGATGCCATTGTTGATTAGATCACCGTTTATAGGATTCATAAGTAAATCTTATAATCAGATGATGAATAATATAAGAGGTGAGTAGACATGGAAGGTCAAACCAGCAAACCGTTTTTTGTTCAATGAAGAGCAGGCTAAAATCATGAAGCAAACTTATTATCTACAACAAATAGAATGAAAAAATAATGAAAGATACTTGATCTTAAGATATTCAAACTTACTCCAAGATCATCCGCTATATATATATATATATATATATATATATATATA